TTGTCGGTAATTTAACTTAGCTAAAGTGGATCCACCTTAGTATTTTAAAATGGCTGGCCTTCGTGGTGAGTGAAAAAATACAAAATATAAATATTCTGTTAATAAAAAAACTATTATATGTTAGTATTATCATTAACATGTATTTTAATGTTGGCCAAATCAACGAAATAAAGTCTTCCTGTTATTTAAATGTAGGCTGGGTCAGGGGTGCCTCCAAGGGGGGGCTGCCAGTGGCCACACAAGTTTATCCCCTTGAGTCCAAGCTGTCTATTCTTAATTCTTTCCTAGCTATTTAGAATTAGTAAAACCTCATAAAAATATAAAAACATAAATTTTATTTAAAATTAAAACTGCAGCTTGAAATCTAGTTCCCTTGAATAAGAACGGGTCTAAAGCCAGTGCTCTCAACATTAGGATGTATAGTTTAAGGAGGGTTTTAATTGATAATGTATTTTTCATAAATATTAATTTAGGGGTATAAACTTCAATAAGTTGAGTTTGACAATGCTTTTCTCAATAAGTAATAATCGTACATAAAAAAAAGTATACCTATATAAATTAGGTAATTCCCAAAGTCCCATATTGATGTTCATGTCTAGTAAGCCATATTAAAAAAATCACCTGAATTTCTGTTCTGGCTTTAGGGTGTGGTGTGCCACCCCAGGATTTTCATCAACCCCCACATGGCCACCTGTGACCCAGATGTAGATATCATCCAGATGTCATGGAACCATTGTGGTGAGAAAAGGGCTACAGGAAGTCAACAAGCACTGACCCCTGGTGACTAATGTCTGAAGCTACTAAAGTTCCCTAAAGGGTTTAAAAATTGCATTATTTGTTGTTGAAATAAAAAAAAGGGAATAATTAGAAAGAGAGGAGAAAAAGCTGCAAGAAGACCATCTTCAAAATTAGCTGAGGACAATTCATAGAGTAAAAAATATCCTTAGTTTTATTTTGGTAGTTTTATTTAGTTTTATTGAACGCCTCGTTTCGGTCAGTCTGACAGAGGAAACCTGCATTAAAGCTCTTAACTGGGTCTAAAACATACAGAACAATAGACTTTAGTTGAATTGGGCTAGCCTTGGTTTCTGCAAACCTATCATCAAATTTTAATTTTCATCAGAAAATAAAATTAATACTGTTGCGTTGTAAACGATTCTTTAGGCAGTTTTGCTGGCAACTGCAGCGAAATGTCGCTGTGAAACAACTCCCCCTAAATAAAATCTCTGCTGTTCTCGAAACATTTTTACCAAAACAACGACAAACATTTAGAAAAGAACACGACTCGTTGTTTTTATACAGTAGCACCAGATTTACATGAATCTCCCACAAACTTCAATAACTTCAGTTTTTCACACTTGTCAGTTTATGTTTTCTTTTCTTTTTTGCAAATGTTACATCACAGAACTTCAAATGAACAATAACAGCAACCTATAAGCACTTTTTTTTCTACGTATATAATGATAATGTCAGGTCACTTGCTAAATGCACAGTGCAAAGCAGCTTTATTATCAATTTTATTTTTTGCAAATACAACATCAGTTCTGTGTTGGCAGCGTTATTGCACATAAGCTCTAATTATCCAAAGCGGCACTCATTTCTGTACGGGCGAACTACACGACCTCACTTTCAACTGCAGAATTCAAGTAGCATCAAAAACAGCCAGCAAAAACAAAACAGTGAGGAAAAGGAAGATTAAAGTAGAACTTTACTGCATAAAATTACTCTTTTGACTCTTATCAGCCTACATTTGGCACGCTCAGAACTACTGAAAAGCAAATGGGGAATTATAAAAAGAAAATGTGTTTTTATAAATGGAAACTCAAAGTCTGACACTAATGACTTTGGTGTATTGTAATTAAATAAGTATTTACACTTGTTTTTCTAATGGTACAATTTCTTAGTTGAAAAATTTGACATGTTTAATATGTTTCCTTGTGAATTAAATGTGTTTGTGAGATTCTGTTTTTATTTACATTATACATAATGTCCCAACTTTTTCCAGAATCATGGTAATATTTCATTATTGAAACTACCTTGTTTCATAAAATACATTGTATGGCTTCAGGAAAATGTATTTTTAGTTTCAGATGCCATTATTTGTTAATTTGTTTGCATTGTTGTTGTTGTTTAAAATAAACAATAAGTGTGTGAATAGCTTTTATTTTGCAATAAAACTGTTGGAACTAGTCTTTGGCACATGATGGTACAATAAATCCAAGAAGCTTTAAAAATCTATTTCATGTAAATTATTTTGTTTTGTTCATTCAAGACAAGGTGAAATCAGTGAAAATGGGCTGATTTCTGTTTGATGATTCAGAAAACCTGCAAACTAGCATTAATAAATCCAATTATCTTTACAAACTGTCAAATGTTTTAACGTAACTACTATATAATAAATTGAAAAGTGTAAATGTTAACGGGTTGAATAGTTGCTGCTTCTTGGGAAATGTTGATCTGCTAAAATAAGTCAGTACCAAAAAAAAGGGCTTAAAAATCAAATATTCCATTTTAAATGGTAATATTTAAATTTTGCACCGTCCATCAAACTTTTAGTTTTGTCTGTATGTTTTTATAAATATATTCTCTCATCTTTATTATTGCCTGCAGCCAAAAGGTGAATGCAGACGATCAAGTTTTTGTCTGTTGTGTCTGTTACTAAAATATCTCATGAACCACAGGAGAACTTTCACTGAAACTTCCTCAAAGAAAAATATGAATTTCCTTCAAGGAATTCTCTGCCTTTAAGTAGATATGAGTTAAATTTGTTATGCAGGTCTCCACTCGCAAGGTATTTATTTGCAACACTTGATATGACTCTCCGCTCTGCACAAAAAATCATATTAAAAATGTTTTTGACCATTTAAAACTCAACCAGGGTTGTAGCAGGTGTACAAGTTAGAATTCACTGTGTAAACTGTATATATATATATATATAATAAATATATATATACATATACACACACACGTATGTATGTATGTAGCATGTATGTATGTATGAATCCATTAATATTAATATTATTATTGTTGTTTACATGTGGAGCTAAATCATTAACTCAGTGAATTTACCCACAATTAACTTGACTTTTGACTAAAAGAACCAAAATTATTAGACCCAAATATGTGACAGCCATAGTCCCACACATCAGAGTGTAAAATCCCCTCTGAAGAACAACGCCAGTTATCGCCATCATTTCAGCCGCTGGGTCACGTTGGCCAAGGCGACAGCGAATGCCTGTACTGCTGAGAAAGGATATTGGAAATCCAGGATATAAGCATTCCCATCTATTCGACCAAACTGCATCACCTAGAACAGAGAAACATAAACACATGAGCAAGCTCGTAACGATTTGAATTTTCTGTTCAGCTTGAAGAGGTGAATTAGAAAACGTTATAACAATCATACATTTTTGAAATTATGTTCTGTCAAGTAGTTATCGATAGTTAGTAACTTATCCACAGTTCAGCATAGGCATCGCAACAATTACATGTGAAGGAGACGTGTCCCCCCTCACATTTACATATTTGTTTGGACACCCCCCCCCCCCACACACACACACACATTTACCATGAAATATTAATTTACCCAGCGCTGTTTCTATGTCTTTGTGAACCTATCCATTCCACCTTATTAATAGGAAAATACTCAAACCAGTAAAAATCCAGTCCAGATTTTCCTGGTTACCAACAACAACTCACCACACCACATGCAGTGTCTCCCTGAGGACACTTGATGGGGCGGGGGGAGGAGGGGGAGACACCTCTGTGCTGCGTGCTATCTTAGCGCCACGTTAGTTTGGGCAGTTGTTGACTGGGGCTAGAATGCGCGAGAGAAGTGGAGTACTACGTCTGTAGCGTCTTAGCTAGCATGTCTGTATTGTGTGCTGCTAGCTTAGTGCTACGTTAGTGCCGGCAGTTGTCGACTAGGGCAGGGAGGAGACAGCATTGTGCCATGCTCTTTAAAATAGTTACTGAATCAAGTGTTTTCTTATGTAGGTAAACGTAGGTGTTTAACAACCCGTTAAAGTAAACCAGAACGCAGGAAATGGCATCTGCTTTATTCAAAAGACCCCCCCCCCCCCATCAATGTGTCCCCACCACATTACAAATGCTTCTGACGCCAATGGTCTGCACTCATAGAGCAAGGAGTTAGGGGCTAGGCTAATGACTAGCAATGTTCAAGTCTATTAAAAAACTCTTAATATCTTACATTTTCTTTCTGTCTTTCTTTCAGCTGCTTCCATCTGCAGGGGTCACCATGGTGATTGAACCCGCATAAAGACTTCACAATCGTTTTATACCAGATGCCCTTCCTGACGCAACCACAGACCACCCAGTTACCATAACCCACATGTGTGGACTAGAGGGCTGCCATCTAGGCACTCAGGGGAGCAGATGGGAGGGCTTGCTCAAGGGCCCAGATTGGGGAAAATAAGGGTGGAGGTAGATGTGAGTGTGTCATCTTTCCCACTTTCCAAATTTTTGTTGTGATGGTCAGGGGATTCGAACTAGAGACATACCGATCGCACGCTGTCCTTCACTAGCCTAGCTAATAAAAATATCTAATAATAAATCTAAAAAATAATTGCACTACATTGTTTGTTTAGTTTGATACTGTTTTCTCTAGCCAGAAATGTCCATGATCCATTGGGCATTGAGTAAATTTAGGATTGACTGAACATGCATATCAGGTGGACATTCAGCAGCCTCTCAGCACCTTCGGTACAACAACTTGACAGTATAATTGTCTATACATTGTATCATCATGTATCGTGCATTGTATCACAAGTGTTGTCTGGTCGAGAAAACAGAGACAAACTAAAGAAATTGTGTTGTGAAAAATTGATTGTGACTAAAGCATGATCAGAGGAAGCTTAAAGATGGACTGGTCTTTGTGTTCATTTTGCAGAACTGTTTTGTAAAAGTGTCTTATGACTGATGTATTTGCTAATAAGGAACAAACTATTGCCAGATTTTTCACTTCAAAAATGACCCAAATATTTCTTTAGGACCAGATACATAAACAACTTATTTGGTGGAAAACTTGGATGTGGAGTTCTGACAGTATTGAGATGGCTGTTGACTTTACCTGCCTACCATCCAGCTCTATCTGAAAATTCTTTGCTGACTCCTGAGTGACTCGACCTCCGAAGTCCAGCTGATAGACCTGGGTGGCTTCATTCCACAGCGGCTGTTTGTTGGCCATGACGTAAACAAATCCTTGGCTACCTAAACTTCGGTCCTCCCTTTCATTTGCCTTGCGGCTCTTTATCTCTTCCAGCTCACTTGCCATACGCATGCTCCGCTTGTTCTTCCAGCTCTTCTTACTGCTCTGGTTCTGGTTCATGAGTTCATCGCCACTGATAAACAGCTCTGGTTCACTTTCTGAGCTGTCCTGGAACTCGTTTGTCGTCCTGCTCATTTTCTTAGTTTTATTGAGTTGTTCTCGTTGACCCTTGGGCTTCTTTTTCTCTCTGCTGCTGAGTCTTGGGCTGGAAATGAGAGTGTTGAAGTCAGAGAGAGCTCGGCCCTCCTTTCTTGACCTGCTCTCTGAGACTGTGGGCATGTTGGCCTCCTCAGCCCTGCTGTCTAGCCTTTTGCGGCTCTTTTTACTGAAGCGCTCTGATTCCTGCGGGACCGGGCTTTCGTTCAGTGATGACGATTCTGGAAAGTTGTTGGCAGATTCTGCTAGATCTTCTGTGGCACTTTTTAATGGTGGCAACTCAGTGGGTGGGGGAGGAGGTGGCAAAGAAGGAGGTGGAGGTGGGGCAGTAGGAGGAGGTGGGGAGAGTATCGGCTTCTCTAAAATCTGATGGGTTTTTGTTGGTAACGGAGGTGCTGGGGGATCTTGCATGGGTGGTGGGCAGGGGTAAGGGTTCCAGGGATGTAAGCTAACAGGATGCAGTTGAAGTCCAGCACATGAGCTAGCTCCTGGATACAGTGGAGGGAGGGGGCAGCAGGCCAAGTTAGCCATATTTGGAGGGTAGCCTGGTGACAAGACCAAACTAGGATCTTGCTGAGCAAAAGGTACTGAAGTGACCACGTCATTTGGGGAACATTGTGGTGGGGAGTTTTGTACAGTCTGGAGAGGAGGTCCACTATGTCTGACACTTGAAGGAAAAGGTGAGAGGGAAATATGGTAGCCTGATGGGAAAGTAAGAGTGCTAGTGCTCAAACTGGTCGAAGGTTTTGCGGTGAGGACGAACGGAAGCCGAGTCATGTCCAAGTGCTGAGTCTGATTGATGATGAGTGGAGGTGGTTTGGGATTTCCTGGCGGGGGAGCCACCATTGTTTGTTCTGGACTCAGCCAGAAGTCCTCTGTGACAGAGGTGTCCCACTGGTAAGGCGGAGGGCGTTTAATCGTCATGCTGGCATCAGCCAGAGTCAGCTGCCGGGCAGATTTCTCAACCTGACACTGCTGATTTAAAGTTTCATCTTCAGTGAAGGCAGAGTTCACATACACGGTTCTGTCACGGCTGTTATCCACGGCACTCAGCAGACTGTAGGATGACTGAGATGCCAGGGGCGAGGAGCTTTTAGAGTGCACTATAATGGTGCTATGATGTGCACCTTTTCCAGGTGGGAAGTCCTGCCTTACAACTGTCCCACCTGCAATGCCACTACTTGTAGTACTGCCTCCACTAATGCTGACACTGGCACTGCTGCTATTACTGCTGCATTGTGTGCATGTGTACAATGCCGTGGGCACCCTTTGCTGGTAGGAAAGTGATACTGCACAGTTCATTTTAGCCTTAGTAGGAAGGGTTCTCGAACTTTCCATCATCTGTGGCACTTTGAGTCCCACTTCCCTGCGGTCACGACGTAGTGTGGCATGAATTAGATTGTTATCAATTCTCTGAGGAGGAGGGAGCGTTACTGGAACATGATTGGCCGGATCAGGGTAAGGAGGAGGGTCTCCACTTGGTATAGAATATCGAGGGACAGAAAGACGACTTAATGTAGCTGAGGTGTAAGGAAGCTGAATTTTTTTACTGTCCGAAGAAGTAACTTTTAGAGTTGCTGAACCGCCGATGGTATGGACAGTGTATGCACTTTGATTGTTAATGAGGCGCCTGCGAGGCCGACAAACCTCCTCTACGTTGCCACTGCTGTCAAAGGTTGTGATCCTTTCATACCCCAGGGGGGTTGAGTATTGTAAAGTGACAGGATGAAGCAAAAACTCATCTTTTTTCATGCAAGGGTCAGGCGCCAGCACACTTGGGCTGTCACAGTTTGTAATGAACGTTTGAGGAGCAGCAGCTGCCGTAGCTGCAGCAGCAGACACTACGGTCCCTGGATATGGAGGAGGAGGATTCACCTTCCTCATCTGGATCTCCACAGACTCATCTGTATCACTGAAGGAGGGAGGTAAAGTCCGTAGAAAACTCGACTTCAGTGTGTGCCCATGGTCCCCCCTGTCAAGTGCGGGCTCTGTTGCAGGAGGAGGGATTTGCGGCAGGAGATGGATCTGCTGCAGGGATATGGTTGGGTAGCTGGTCGGAGGTGGAGGCAGTGACATCTGCATCTTCAGCTGCTGCTGCATCTGCTGGTGCTGCCTCTGCATCTGTTGGTGCTGCTGCTGGATCTGCTGATGCTGCTGCTGGAGCTTCTGCTGCTGCTGCCTCATTTCTTGGATCTGCTGCCGGATCTGCTGCTGCTGCTGCTGCATCTGCTGCTGCTGCTGCTGCATCTGCTGCTGCTGCTGCTGGATCTGCTGCTGCTGCTGCTGCATCTGCTGCTGCTGCTGGAGTTGTTGAGTCGTCACTGGCGGTGGAGCTTGTTGCACTTGTTGGTGCTGCTGAGGCTGCTGCTGATGAAGCATCTGTGGGTGATGCAGCTGCTGATGCTGCTGCAGCTGCTGTGACTGGGGCTGATGGTGGTGTTGCTGCTGCTGCTGGTGATGATGCAGTTTCTGCTGTTGCTGCGGTTGCAGTTGCTGTGGTTGTTTGGGTGGCTGCTGGCGAGGCTGCTGGGAATGAGACCGCTGTGAGTGGGGCTGAGGGGGGAGGTGGTGAGGCGGTGGAGGGGGAGGTAGAGTTCCAGGTAGAAGGGGGCCCATCTCTAACCCATTGAAAATCCCCTGACTGGAGTTTGAGTATCTTGTTGGCACAGGGTACGGCGATGCAACAGCTTCCTGACTGTGATCAGTGACAGGAACAGCGGCTGCTGCAGCTGTAGCTGTCGGGTTGGTCAGCACGTCGAGCTGAATGTTCTGATTGGCCAGAAGAGACTGAACCAGCCCAATACTCTGAGTTGGAGACATGGCTTGAGCCGGGCTGTGGATAGGGGCGATGGGAATGTTGACTGTGCAGGGTGGATTGTCTCCTGCTACTCCAGATGGCCCCATCACTTCATAACAAAACAAAGCAGAAAAAGCAGGACATGTATTCACTCAAATACACCTTTCTATGACTACCAATTATTTTATTTTGAGTTTCATTTTAGATTGAACATACTCTATTTGATGCTGTTAGTCATACCTGGTAAATCATCCTCGTCCTCACTGAACACATTTGGGTTGAACACTGGCAGGCTCATAAAGTCATGAGAAATCTTCCGCACCTCAGGGAGGTAGATCGTCATCTGTCTCGGCTGCAAGTGCAGCAAACTGGTCTTGTAGATGACTGACGAAGAAGTAAACACAAAGGGAAAGGTTCACTATCTGTTTAGGAAAAGTCGAGCATTTAGGTGATCATGGGGGGGATTTACCTGCACCGAGATTGGTGGGGAGAAAAGAGGCAAGTCCAACAATTTTGAACTTTGTTCCCCAGATGTTGGATGTAACTTGTGCAAGATAATTGTGCTATGTAAAAGAGAACATGTAAAAAGTTTGTCATGCAATATAAGAACATGAAATATCAGTCACTGTTACATCTTTGTTGACACCTCTGATTGATGGACGGATATACGGACAGACAGATAGACAAGACATTTTGTTACTTTTATCAAATATTTAGCTACTTTTAGCTAGTGTTGTCCTCCTTTTAACAAGTGTTTTGTCTCTTTTAGCATTAACAACTTGGTCTCAATACAGAAACTATGTGTTGTTGTAAATAGTACATGAATGATTCTCAACACGTCACTACCTCTGTGATTCCGTCCATTGTGAACTCTCTTCTAGTCAAACTAGGTGACCGAACCGGAGGTTTCTTTGTCAGTAGCCGCGGCGATCGTTGGCCTTCCTGATTGGAGCGTGAAAGTTTGGGAGATTTTCTTGACTCCATGTTCAACCTATAAAAGAACAAAGCATAAAGTTTTAAATGATCTTTTGGGTAAAACAAAACAAACATGGTGAAAGAAACCACATTTGAAAAATCAAAATGTGAAAATACCTCAGTTAGATCGAAGAAATGTTTTTTTTTTATACAACCCCAATCCAAAAAAGTTGTGATGTTGAGTTAAATGTAAAACTTTAAAAATAAAGTACCATGATTTGCCAATATTGCATTCACAACACAATGACATACTGTATATATACAATAACAAATGACACTTGTAACCTGTTTCCTCTGGATAACTTTGGCGACTTCTTCCCGACCCATTCATCGCTCAGGTCAATGTCGCTGGAGTCAGAGCAGTTACAGCTGTCAGCGTATGAAATCATGGGATTCACACACACCTCCTCTGAAAAAACAAAAGCACACAAAAACAAGAACTATTTACAAAAACTATCCTTGTGTACACAACTCTCTTCATGTCACTACACAGATTTAGGTCCAGACTCAGGCTAAGACGGCCAAACATTTTAATCTACGAATTAAAGTTGGTCTTTTGTTGATTTGAATGTCTATTTAAAGTCACTGCCACAATGAAAATTACATTTCTCTCTATTTCAGCTTTAGAGCAAACACCTTCTGACTTTAGGGCAAAATAAAAAGATATTTGGAACTGATACATTTTCACTAAACCCCCAGTTCCAGATAAAGTCAAAGCAAAACCCACTGCATAGTGCTGCCACCACCATGTTTTGCAGTGGGAATGGTGTTTTATACTTTGTTTTGTAGTGATCTAAAGTCATGTTTCTGAACTAAGCACACATTTTGGCTTAATATGAGTGACAAATGTACATGTTTTTGGTCGGTGGGAGGAAACTGGAGTACCCGGAGAAAACCCATGCAGCACGGAGAGAACATGCAAACTCCATCCAGAAAGACCAACAATGTCCAGTCAGGTCATCTGGACAGTTACTGTTTTTGTTGAGAGACGTTTCGCCTTCCATCCGAAGGGCTTCATCAATCCTTGGATTGGAGGGTGAAAAGTCTCTTCACAAAAAAAAAGGAACTGTCCAGATGACCTGACAACATTGTTGGATTTCTTTACCTGGATTATTGAGCATGGACTTTGATGTCCACCCAGAATGGCCCCCCGGCCAGGATTTGAGCTGGTGACCTTATCACGGAGAGGCAGCAGCTCTACCAACTGCACCACCGTGCCGCCCTCTGCTGGCTTCCTTGGATAGATCCTTTTTACTAATCAGCTTTTATAATGTCTGTGGATGTTTCTGTTCAGTGTCCTGAAACAACTTCTGTTGCGACTTGGTGATATATAAATAAACTGAACTGAATTTAAATTTAATTGAAATCTGTACGTGATGAGGGACTACGGTGTACCACTTATTTATCTGTAAACATCTGGGTCAAGTGTGATTGTGTGACCTTACCTGGCTTGCCATCCGTTTTTGGATCCATGATAATGAACTCAGGCCTGAGTTTACTGATGCGCCTTCCTTTGAGAATAGGCACCAGTCCCCCTAAATATTCCAGATACAGGGTGTAGCAGGGTCCGCCTGCCTCGGGATTGTCATCTGCTCGCTTCATGGTGCAGTGAAGACGCTCATTCCCAGCTGTGGGATAGCTGACGAAATCACGGATGTTGTTGGGGTCAGGAATCGGGGGCTAGAACAAAGAGAGGAAAGAGCTGCAAGATTTCTGGATGCTCAAATGACAACATACCTCTGAGGGCGAATTTGTTTTTCCATTGATGACCTTAGCTCACTTTGAAAGCAAGGATCTTTACACCCTAATGGCAGGTCTATCTCTATGATTTCACCTGACATCTGCTGCAGTAAAAAGCCCTAAAGAGATTTTGCACATTAAGCTTTAATAGTGGTATAATAATAATCTGTCACTCATAACTACTTTAAGAGTGACAGATAGCTTCAAGGTGGAGGTGGGAGTGCATCAAGGATCAACTCTGAGCCCCTTCTTGTTTGCTCTGGTGATGGACCCACTAACAGATGAGGTCAGGCAGGAATCTCTGTGGACTATAATGTTTGTAGATTATATTGTTGTCTGTGGTGAGAACAGGGAACAGGTGGAAGAGAACTTAGAGAGGTGGAGGTATGCACTTGAAAGAAGAGGAATGAAAGTCAGCCGTAGTAAGACAGAGTCCATGTGTGTGAATGAGAGGGAGGAGGTGGAACAGTGAGGCTACAAGGAGCAGAGGTCACAAAGGTGCAGGACTTCAAGGACTTGGGGTCCACTGTCCAGGAACATGGGGAGTGTGGTGAAGAGGAGAAGAAGAGAGTCCAGGCAGGATGGAGTGATGGAGAAAAGTTTCAGGAGTGATTTCAGACAAAAGTGTGTCAACAAAGGTCAAAGGAAAAGTTTACAAGACAGTGGTGAGACCAGCTATGTTGTATGATCTGGAGACAGAGACATGGACAAAAAGACAGGAGACAGAACTGGAAGTGTCAGAAATGAAGATGTTGCGGTTCTTCTTAGGAGAGACAAGGATGGAGAAGATCAGGAATGAGATCATCGAAGGTACAGCACAGGTTGAACAACTGGGAGATAAAGTTAGAGAGGACACACTGAGATGGTTTGGACATGTCCAGAGGAGGGACAGTGGTTTGGACATGTCCAGAGGAGGGACAGTGGATACTGATAGAAGGATGTTAGAAATGCTGCTGCCTGGTAAAAGACAAAGAGGAGATATATGGATGCAGTTAGAGAGGACATGGAGGTAGTTGGAGTGAGGACAGAGGACGGAGTGAGATGGAGGAGGACTCGCTGTAGAGACACCTGAAGAGGGAAAAACCGAAAGAAGAAGACCAAGAAGAAGCTTTAATACCTTGATGGTGGGAATGAAAGCAGTGGTGACATAAGAGCAGAGCAGCGAGGGCATGTTTAGTTTCCCCACATCTTTCTCTTCACGGAGGGCGCTTGCGATTCCTTGTTGGCACAGGAGTTGAAGACTCGCCACTCTGTGCTCCACACGTACCACGTAGAGCGCTGGTCCACATGCAAGGAACAGGCGAGAATCTCTGTGACCCCAGCAGATGGTGGTGATGGGCCTCTGAAACAGGAGCATTGTTTCTGAATAACGTCAGCTGGGATCAAGTTAGTTTTTGATGCGTTATGTTTCATTCACCCTTTAGTCGAGAACAGTAAAGAAATACGTTACATTTGCAACATCAAAGCAAAGCTTCCATCCTTGAATTTATAAAAGGACTGACCTGTGCAGGTGTTTCCAGGGTGTATATGTGCTCTCCTTGGACGTTATAGAACTTAACGAGGGCGTTCCTCGTGATGGACGCACAGGCCGACTCAGCAGGAAGCCCATGTCTCTCCATGCCGGCCACAGCCAACAGGTCTCTCTGGGAGCACCACTGAGCCTCTACGTCTGAAAATGTTAATCCAGAAATATATATTCAGCTTTTACGTGATTAACAGCAAAATCTACAGAAAGTTGAAAATGAGTTGTTAAAGTTAAAAACAACAAGAATAGGAGCTAAAAGAAGCAGAACATGACCTAAAGTGAGAAGAACAAGAGCTGAAGGGGGGAGAAGAGAAGCTAAAGGGAGGAAAATAAGGGCTAAATGGAGGAGAAGAGGAGCTAAAAGAAGTAGAGCATGAGCTAAAGGGAGGAGAAACTAAAATTAAACGGAGGAAAAGTAAAAGTGGCAAAGCAGTAGCTAAAAGCTAAGAAGAGCTGAACAGTACCTAAAAGCTAGGAGAGGAACAATAACATCTAAAATATGCTAAATTGTAGCTAAAAGCCAAAATTTGCTAACAATTCTTAGAAACTGTGGAGATGTCGGTGTACTTCTATGAGGCATATTATTTTAAATAAAGTTATGTATTTTGAAAAGTATACAAGTTACAAAAAACAAGTCATAGCACTCAAATCAAGCTGAACTGAAATGAAAAATAGTACAAAATAATTAAATTAGAACAAAAAGAAACTTGAAACAGGACAAGAGAGTAGCTGACAGGAAAGTTTCTTCAAATGTTCTTTATGTTTTGTGTTCTTACCTTTGAGACCTGAATGAATGACGGCAGGAGAGAGGTCGTCATAGTTGTTCATCAAACTAATATCTCCTGACAAGAAGGTCACCGTCAGCAAGGGCTTCACCCTCCTCACTTGGAAAAAGAGAGCTATGTAAACACTTACATGTGTGTATTTGTACTCAGGAAACACAGTATAAGTATAAGACGTGTAGAGTCTGTACCTAAGGGCAGAATGTTGTCGTCGGAGTCCGTGTCGCTCTCTGTGCTGTCCTCAATGAGGAAGTCGGGGCAGTTCCAAGACATGCCCACGATCCCATCAGACTCGTGCAACAGCACATGAGCGAGCATCCGTCCGTGGCAGTCCATCACGATTACCTGTCCGTCAGCTGTGCCGAACAACACCTGAGGGGGCGTCACACGACATTTCAACAGCTGCCCAGATGAATGTGTCCTCTTTAGGTTTGACTAATCATTCCACTTGTTTTTTTAAATCACAGAGAGTGTGTTTGAGTTACATGACAGATGATGGAGGAAGTGAGCCAAACATTTTCTACCTGCTGATCATCAGGCGCCCAGATGCCACAAGTAATTTGACTCTCCAAGTTGATCTCAGAGGACCAGTGTCTCTGCCCGCTAACCGAGCCAACTAACACGAAGCCGTCTCTGTAGGCGATGAGGGCCTGAGTGCCGTCATGGGACCAAGTGAAGTCACTCACCTGAAGGGGTCAGACGTTCACACGTTAGTACGTTTTTGTATTTATTACTAAAGCCAACGAGGCAATCGTGTTTTCGCCGTGTGTGTGTGCGTCTTTGATTGTCTGTTTCATGAACCACTGGACGAATGTATTGAAAGTTTTATTGTAATGTTTAACGTAGATCTACATCGTGCAAGCTTACAGATCACCTCTGCTTTATAACGTGAATCCCACGCTCCTTGTTTCTTTGTTTCTTTGAATTAAGAAAGCTCCTCGGATGAGGAGCGAAACGTCTTCAGTTACAAATAAAGTCCAGTTGTTTTGTTTTTAATGTTTTTGGATTTACCATGTCCTGGATGACTGAGAATCTTCATCAGCGTACGCACAATTTTATTTATTTATTTTTAATTTAGTGGGCGTGGCTTATATTTGGGTGCGCGTGGTAGCCCGGAAATTACGGTAAAGTTTCATCTGCAGTCCCAATTAATTCTGAGCCTTTGTGACCAAAGGACCAGCGAGCCACGCGGCCCCATTTTGATCGTTTTAGAGGTTTTCATGTGCTTGTCTTGTTAAACTACATTCTAGGTCATGCACATTTTTTATTTTCCATCTTTTTTCACATCGTACTTTGATATTTAGTCTACTGGAGCACTGTTAGGAAATGAAAAGAGGCAAATTTGGACTCGGATTTAATAATAATAATTTTTCATCATGGTGGTTTTTAGAGCCAGATGTTTGTCTAAGATATTTTTTGTTAGATGAGCGCTCCCTGCAGGTGTCAAAACACTCTGGAGCTCTTGAGACAACAACTTTGTGACTACAACTTATTTTAACATTTTTTTAACGAAACGTAATTGTTGCTTGAATTTTTAACAAAACTTAAGCAACAGGGCTGCATGCAGTGGGTTATAAGTTGGGAATGACTCTGAGCTATTACCATACCAAACATGATATTCTGCTAACAGTATAGAAAAACAAGCACATTTACAAACATGTGCAAAAACATTATTGTTCTGCCTTGATAACTACCATATTTTTCGCCTTATCAGTTGCAGTTTTTTGCATAATCTGCATGCCCTGCGACTTATACGATGAAGCGACATATTTATGGATTTCCCCATATTTATGAACCAATTTCGGGCTGAGATATGACCGTTTTCATTCATTCTGACTGAAAATATTGAACACTATCATTTTCAGCCGCTAGATGGCAGTCGAGTAGTATGGCATGCCGATGTATCATGTAATAGGGAAAAGTGGCTATTAATGACACAATCGGCTTGCCATATATTGTCTGCCTGGAGCAACGGTCAAATCAGCTTAATTTCTCTGCGCTGCTCCGACAAAATGCAGCTGATTTGACCGTCAAAGTGTATTTTTAAGGAAAAGTTCAACTGAGACACACATTGGAAATAATTTAGAGCAAACAAATAATTGTTTTTGAGTGTTAATCTTGTTAAATTCTTGTTAAAGTCCTCCCGTGCACGCTCCCGCGGCCGCCATTTGGCAGCCATTCTATTTTTTGGCACAACACCGGCCCACATCTCCGGGTTGTCGGTGGTGACGCATAATAGATGAACGTATACGACGTATACAATGAAGCGACGCATTTATGGGTTTTTCCACTTTATTAGACATATTTGGACTGAAGCGACTTATAGGGCGGAGCGACGTGTACGGGTAGTCTTTAACAGTATTTAGTTGTTGTGGCCACACTTACATTTTTTGGATCAAAGCAGAAAAAGCATCTACCTGAGCTCCTCTGTCATTCACTAACTCCACCGACCATCGTCCTTCATACTGGATCCAAACAAAAATACCTCCTTCCATGTCACAGGTGGCCAACTTCTGGAAGGGCTCATTCCAACGCACTAAGACAACCTTTAAGAAAAAGACAACAAATACTGTCACCATGTCGAAAGCACAGGGGTCTGTCAGCACAGAAGAATGTTCATGATTAATATTCAGCATAATTATGAGGACAAACTTCTATATGTTCAAATATTAACGACATGAAACTTTAAGAACGCATTGCACTTACAGACAATTGTAAAATATTATTTAAACTTGATGTTAGTGTTATCTTTAATGATGAAAATGATGAGTAAGAATTGACAATATTGTTTTCAGCATCTTGTTTTGCTTATTTTGTGCTATTTTTCCCAGACAAATATCAAAACACGGAGTGGGGTGATATATCTTTTGATTTCTGTAATGTTCACGAGCGGGGTACGCCAAATGTCCCCCGTCGCTGAACCATTTGAAAGGTGGATGTTTGTAGTTTTCCAGATGGTTTTCTGGACTGGAATTGAAAAGGGAATGCAAGTAAACCTAAATGTTTTTGGTGCAAAATATTCAAGTGGGTAGGAGTTACACAGTTTCTTTTTTCTTGTTCGATGTGGCAACCCAGTTTTCAATAAGAAATCTCATCATCATCATCCTTCTCCTCATCATCATCATCATCATCTTATGCCTAGATATAGGGAAGTTGGTACCTCACATATTTTTCAAGTTATCCTGCTCGCCATGTTTACATAAAAATCTGGCGGCGGCCATCTTTAGATCTGGCAACCCTTATGTCTGGATGAAGTCACACACAGAAGTCAGTGTTTTGTCACTTCCATATAGCATTTTTTACCCTTACCTTTTTGCTAATCTTTTTCCTCAATTTAACTTTTAACTAATTATATTTTTGGCACAGATTATGCTCTTTTTACCATTTAGCATTTATTTTTATGTTTCCTCTTTGTTTTAACATTAACGACTCAGTTCCAGCTTCTTCGTTAAACTTCAGGAGGATCATAAGAGTAAAAAGTTTAAGTAAAATTTTAATAGAAGGCCTATCAAAGGGATGCTGCTTGCTATGACAGAACCAAGATCATTCTGGGCTGTGAAATGTGCCTTGCAGCTGTTTTGGTGAAACTTTGAAAATATTATGCAGTACTGAAAGTTGTCATCAAGTTTCATTAAAATCTAGAGGTTCATGAGATATTTTGCTAACAGACAGACATAAGCACAAACTTCCACCTTCGTCTTTCGAGGGCAGACAATAATTATGACAATGCTTGTGATGTTGCTCAAAGTCCCACCTCGCTGTTGTGCCCTCTCAAGTTGAAATTGATCCTCTGTGGCGTACTTCTGTCCCTCCTGCAGTGACTCGATGTAAACGTCACCCCAACAACTCCTCTCGCGTTCCCCGTGGCGAGCCAGCCCTCCTCGTAGTACCGTCTCCGGCATACCGGCTTGTCTTTCTCACTCTTAGGGACCCGGCCTTTCCAGGAGAGGCAGAGGATGTTGGAGTCGCTGCAGAGGATGGGACCATGTTCCACGGCGGCCAACATCCCTACTGACTGACCAGGCTGCTGAACCGAACAAAGGAGGAAACAGAGTAACAACAATATCACAGATACTGTCAAGAACCTTCGTGTGTGACGCTACATATACTCAAAACTGCCCTCTCAGAGAAGCTCAGAGTATTTTGGTACACTGTTGCTATTTTCATGATCAGCGGGGGAGTGGAGCTGCAGTAAAACGTAAAACAGTTTGGATCCAAAGTTATTTATAGACAAAAGAAACAAATGCAGACAGAAAATTTTCAGCACAAGGTTGATAAATAGCTTAAAATATTCCCATGGCACAATGTTAGTTAGTTTTTAGGACTTAACGTGACTTACAGAAGATCAGGTGATGCAATCGATCACCTCCAGTAGCTGTTAGCGAACAGATGTGATTTAATAAAGCTAGAAAAATTTTTAAAAAGTGCAAATGTAAAAAAGGCGTAGAGATAAAATGTTTAAATTGCCATTACTTTATAATAAGTCTTATTGGAAACTGGAAAATCTCACAGGTAGTCCCTGTTCATGTTCTGCTAAATGCTCATGTGTTCTAACAAGGTTGAGTCAGGTCCTCTGGACGTTAAACGTTTCATTTTTTTTATCCAAAAGACTTCTTCAGTCTGAGGAGCTGCAACAAACTTATAAATAGCACCTTCTCATAGTGGACCTGTGGTGCTGAAGGTGTTATTTATAAGACTGAGTTTGTTGCAGCTCCTCGGACTGATGAGGTCTTCTGGATAAATAATGAAATGTTTCAACAAGAAGAATCCGTCCAGAGGACCTGACTTAAAGTTGTTGGATAATAAGACAAGTTTCTCTCAATGATACGTCAGACCATTTAGACACATGGTTTGGTCCTTTTCTCTTTGTTTGGTTTTAAATTGGTTTCAGAGGAGAGAAGATACTTGGATGCAGTTAGAGAGGACATGGAGGTAGTTGGAGGACAGAGGACAGAGTGAGATGGAGGAGGACTCAATGTGGCGACCTCTGAAGAGGGAACAGCTGAAAGAAGAAGTTTTTAAGATTGGTTCCAGAAGCAGAGGAACATCCACAACGTTTTCCAACAGATGATCAGATGGGGACTACAGATAACTTTGGGGGCGGCACAGTGGCTCAGTTGGTAGAGCTGCTGCCTCTCAGCGAGAAGGTTGCTGGTTCAAATCCCACCCAGGGACCTTTCTGGGTGGAGTTTGCATGCTCTCTCCATGCTGCGTGGGTTTTCTAGTTTCCTCTCACAGACCAAAAACATGCATGTTAGACTGATTGATAACTCTAAATTGTCCCTGAGAGTGAGAGAGAGAGTGAACGGTTGTTGTCTCGTTTGTCTCCAGGGTGTCCCTGCGATGGACTGGAGACCTGTCCAGGTGTCCCTGCGATGGACTGGAGACCTGTCCAGGTGTCCCTGCGATGGACTGGAGACCTGTCCAGGTGTCCCTGTGATGGACTGGAGACCTGTCCAGGTGTCCCTGTGATGGACTGGAGACCTGTCCAGGTGTCCCTGTGATGGACTGGAGACCTGTCCAGGTGTCCCCTGCCTCTCGCACAGTGATGGCTGTATGGACATGGACACCAGTGATCCAAAAAGGAAGAAGCAGGTAAAGATGATGGATGACTGGATGGATGGATGGCACATGAGATGGAGGTAGGTAAACAAAGTCTGGGAGGAAAGATGGAGTGAGTTTTGGATTCCAGATAAGCAGTAAACTATGATGGTGATTGTTTTGTGGCATCAGGTTCACCGTGTGACCATTAACGCTCCAACAAAGAGCTCCATGATTGGTGCTCTACGAGGAATGTCACCGCTTATAAAGTACTGATAACATTAGACAGATCATCTCTTCAAAGTTGGTTGGACTATCCCTTTAAATTTTATAAACTGGTACATGAGAATTGGTGCATTTAACTAACAAACAATATGACTATAAGACTGTCTGGACAGGATTAAATTTAAAATCATTACCCTTTTTCATGATATTTATCAGGAGCTTTTTGTAGTTAATGTTTCTTTCAATTAACTATGGCTCCAACCAGCAGTCATATAAAATTGTTAATTAAAATGAAAAATACCCCTCACAGTATTGATATTTAAAAATACCTCATAGCTCCTGGACATGTTGAGTCAAAATGCTTCCATTAAAGGTGTCCATGTTTCCATGCAGATGAAGGGGTGATGCTGCTCAGCTCCTGACTCTGACAGTGTCAGTTCTGTAAATGCATCATACAGCCTGGCTGTATCCAGCTCTTCATTCATTCATTCATTCATTCATTCATTCATTCATTCATTCATTCATTCATTCATTCATATGAAGCAGGTCGGAGTTTGTCATGATGCTGAGGCTCCTTCATGGTTATTCCATGTCTTCTCTCAGGCTCCAGAGTTGTGCAGCCCTGACAGAGGAGGAAAACGGAGTGATGAAAAATAAAATAAAATGTAACACATTAGTCATCTGACAGCGAAACCTGAAGATTTTTTGTTATGTAAAAAGGAGAGGTGTCATTCAGAGGATCAGTGTTTCTCAGAACACTGCATTGGAGACAGTCTCCATGGGTACAGCACCATATCCGCGCACACTCACCGCACGGACACGGATGTGTAATTAAATATGCCCTTTTTTTTACGCCCATAATAAGTCAGCGTTATTAAACTCTAATATAAAAACAAAAGGACTACTAATGCCAATTTACCTCTTGGTTTGACGCATGTAGCTTCAAAACGTTTGATTAAAATGTGAGTAAAAAAACTAACTATCGAGAAAAAAACAGCAATAAAACAAAGACAATATGTTTAAATCTGTTAAAAACATGAAACGGCCCAACAGAACGAACCTGACACTGCTGTGAGACGGTGTTTGATCCAGAGGTGGTGGCCGGAGTGTTGCCAGGCGCTGCTCCTTTTGCGCACTCAGGAGGTTGTGCCTTTAAAGCGGGTTGCCATATAAGGGAGGCTGCGCGGAAAACGCGCCGCGGATTTGAAGCGCAGATTGCACCAAATAATGCAACAAAGTGAAGGTATATGAGAGCAGTTTAGTGTATTTTTTTAATAAAGTTTCAAAAAGTGGCAAATTTCAAAAAGTTTTTCAGTATTTTCTGCTTCCACTGAAACGTGTCTTTTCTCCCCTCATGGCAACCTTGCGCTGCAAAACCCAGTCTTTGCAAACAAACCGTCCACAGAACACCTTGATTTGATGGAGCTGGTGACCCCAGCTTTACTAAAGAAATAACTGCCTCCACATTGAAAGGACCGGTTTTTATGAAATGCATATCGCCCGCCGACTTCCTGAGTAATATGACATTAAGCACAAGTTCACGATCAGCTCAGAGAAGGTGTTAAAGATGACTGTCACCTACTACCACTACCACCTTTAGCTCAATAGATTTTACAACTTCATCATAACATTGTGTGTTGGCTGAGACCCATTAGCTGTGGCAGCCATCTTGAATGGGAGTGACTTCAAATTTTAACCAAGTACAACAAATGAAAACATTTAATTTTTTTTTGTGAATTATGAGATATTTTGCTAACAGACAGACATAAATGCCAACATAAAGCTCTAAAAACAAAATTTGCTCAACTCTGTTTTGCGATGACTTTCAGCTACAAACATGCAGCATTTCAGCTTAAAATCTGTCAGAGGAGACATTCTTGTGTTTGCTAAGGTCACTTGGCAGCGGCAGCCATCTTGAATCAAAAGTTACTTAAAGAAACTGCACTTCCTGCAAAAATGCATCATCCATCCATCCATCCATCCATCCATCCATCCATCCGTCTATTCATCATTTTTTACCCTATTCTTCTTTTTTGGTTCACAGGGGTCACTAGTGCCCATATCCATCTGTCACTGTGCTAGAGGTGGGGGACGCCCTGGACAGGTCTCCAGTCCATCACAAGGACACCTGCGAACATTTTGATATACAAATTGCTGAAATATGAATTGTTGAAATGTGAACTATTGAAATATGAACTGTTGAAATATGAATTGTTGAAATATGAATTGTTGAAATATGAATTGTTGAAATATGAATTGTTGAAATATGAATTGTTGAAATATGAATTGTTGAAATATGAATTGTTGAAATGTGAACTATTGAAATATGAATTGTTGAAATATGAATTGTTGAAATATGAACTGTTGAAATATGAATTGTTGAAATATGAACTGTTGAAATATGAATTGCTGAAATATGAACTGTTGAAATATGAATTGCTGAAATATGAACTGTTGAAGTAGCACAAAAATTGTGGAACGAGTTAAGTGCTGAAAACCGTATGAAAGAAAAATGGCTCGCAATAGTCAGAATACTTTAGAAGCATTCACACAATAAATCGTAGCTTGATCACATTTGATAATTTTGATCCATATATTGTGCATAATGACACAAGGATTAATACAAAACATAACTTCATGGTCAAACATCATAACTTTTTAGCTTTAACTTCACATGTTTTAATCTCCACTGCAGCCAACATGCATCATCACCTCAGAGCGCATTAATCTGGTAAAATAAAGGTGATATATATATATATATATATATATATACTTACAAACATTGGCAAAAACTTGATCACCCGTCACCTTCAACAGTGTGGAAAAAAAAAGCACTACTGTTACAAATTTTAAATACACACAATGATATTTATTTGCTTCATATTTACACAGTTCATCCAAAGCAAAAACAGAACTGATCTCTTTTTAACGTTGATTGTTTATCAATTAAACAGAATGCAGCGATCTATATATCCAATAAGCCCCACATTTGGTTAATAATCATTTTAAAACATTTCAAAATGAGATATTTAAAAATAAAAAAATAAATGCTTATCTGAAACTACATTAAAATGAAATAGTTTTAAAACTTTAGATAGAGGAAACTAAAGATGAAGTAAGTTTTAGTAATGCTGAAGGTTTTTTCTGGAAGATGTCAAAACTTAATTAATTAAATCTTTATCATGCAAATAAAACAAAGTATGTAGAAATGTTTCTCTTCTCATTAGGCCTGATCTAATTTCTAATGAACTTCTCATAGCAAATAACTTTTGACCGCTTCCTTTCATGCCAGCGTTTAACTAAGATCATCTTATAAAGAGAAATTACATTAAAAAATAACATTATGGTGCATTTTTACAAGATCTCACACCAACTGCTCAAAATAAGGGATGTCCCAAGGTGAGGTGGCCATCTTGAATGGGAGTGGCTCTAAAAGCTAATCAGTTATAGATGTAATTCAATGATTATTTTCTTGGAGTTTCATTGAAATAACTTAACTGGTTCATAACTCATTTTGACAACAGATATAAAAAGAGCCATTATTTCCTGCTTGAAACGATGATAATTCAGTTTTTAATGGAAAAACATTTGCATGCAGGCATTGTCCTGCTTTATAACTGATGTCACGTATGACAAGGTGCTAACTAGTAAGACCTAGTGGACAAAACATCACTTCACACTTGACAGGTCTATCACATTAGGCTTAGACTGCATTTGAATCTCATCAAATGCAGATGTGACCTCACTGCTCCACTGCTGTAAACTGTGAAGACTGATACACAGCTGGAACGTCCACTGCCGTTCCAAAACTTTGTCCTGCTTTGGCTCCTGTTCTCATGTTATCAGTTTTAAGTGTATGTCTCCTCAAAGGCATGGATGACGCTGTCGTATGCAGGAGGGGGTGTGTGTGAAGGAAGGAATCCTTTAAGGCCATTGCTGCCCAACCAGAAGGAGTGTCTTTTGTTCGGCACCAGGGATGCTGAATCAGACGAGTCTGAAGCCACGGTGTCCTCTGACATAGTTACTTGAGCGTCATTTGCCAAGTTCAGACCAGGCCTGCTCTTCTTGGGTAGTGGACGAAAAGTGGACGTCTCTGCGGAGGGTTTACTCCCCAAAGGGCCCACTGGCTCTAAAGACGGCTGCCTGTAGACTCCCAGAAAAGTGCTTCTGTAGAGACCCAGCTGGTTGCCCATGGGGTCCCGTGTTTGCAAAGTGCCTGATTTCTTTTTGGAGCGCCTGGTGATCCTGGCTGTAGCCCGTCGCCTGGAGGCCCAGGTCAGCAGGATGTAGACCAAGGTGCCCAGCAGCAAGCCCACGAGCACAGACAAACAGAAGGCGAGGATCATGTCACCTGGACAAAGACAAACCCATGCACAGGCTCAGAGAGGAAACACAAAAAGGAAACAGCAGAGAGGCAGGAGGGATGAACTGTGCTGTTGTGCAAATGAGAACATAATTTTTCCCAGATGGTGGCTTATGCTGCCTTTGAAGTTAAAAATAATCTAACCAAAGACAAGAAACACGAAGTGTTGCCAGATTTATTTAAGGAGTATTGATTTATTATTGCTGCAACGTGCTGCTTCAGTTTACATAAGATCTTATATCATGCCTGCTGTGTGGGTGTTGTATCATCTGCACAATCTGACAGGGTTATATCTGCAGCACATGAATCATAACTCCGGTTTTATCATTCCATTGTGATGATTTTCTCATGTTACGACAGACTATTCATAGAAGGTGATTTTAAACATGTCCAGGCTCTTGGGAGCAAATGAGCATGAGACATTTGAGTTTTTTTGTCTTTCCACAGAGCAACTGATCATTTATGATCATAACGAGCCCTGAAGAGCAGAAACTTTTGTTCTCATGAATTTCCTCTTGTAGTGGCTCTTACTACAACTCTTAAATCCTACACCGTTTTAATCTGGATTGACGTGACTCTTTTTCATACTGTTTGTTGAATTGCAGTAATTGATTCATGAGATGGTTTTGTTTAGAAAATCGGCATGGTGGACAAATTAAAAAAATTCTTGGAAAGAATTTCCTCACAGTTGAATTGCTGTTTCAACATGAACCAGTCTGGTTGTTTGCACCACAAACTCTCAATGAGTAGAACTCAGAACAGAACTTGGAAGTTGAAGCTGGACTAAGACAGGCTTCCCATTCAGCTGGTTCCTACAAGATTTAAGTCCTGTTCCCATCCATGTGTATGAATAGGACTTTTTGCTTCAAAATAAAAGCACACATCAGAGACGTTTTTTCAAGAGACAACTCTTGTTGATTCACAAAGTTCTTACCTTGCTGCTGTTTGTTCAATCATGTATCTAATTTTGATTAGTTGTTTCATGCTTAAAAGAAAGTCATGTGATACTATTATTGTGTGCGTGGGAGTAGGCAATGTTTAAAACCCAGCATTACAGTACACAGACTGGTTACTGTTCTCGGTCACGGAGCGAAGAGGGGGAATTGGAAATACCCTCTGTCCACCTGTCTGTCCCTGCACATTGTGAGCACAACTTGAAAATATATACTGAACAAAAATATGAACACAACACTTTTGTTTTTGCTCCCATTTTCCTGAGCTGAACTCAATGATCTGACCTTTTCTACGTACACAAAATGCTCTTTTCTCTTAAATACTGTTCACAGATGTGTGTAAATCTGTGTTAGTGAGCATTTCTCCTTTGCAGAGATAATTCATCCACCTCACAAGATGCTGGTCAGACAGCAGGATTACTGCACAGGTGAGCCTTAGGCTGACCACAATAAAAGGCCACTCTGAAATGTTCAGTTTTAGCACAGCACGATGACACCGATGTAAGTTTTGAGGGAGCATGCAATTGGCAAATCCCTTAGAGAGGTATGCATATTCATATTCATATACATATTAATGTACATATTTGTGTACATATTCATATTCATGTACATATACATACTTGTGTCCGTCACTCCCTGATTACCAAGTTAATGAGACAGACAGAAACTCAGACTGAAAGTAAGCCTCAAACAGTCACGGTGTGAAAACTGTCAGATTAATAATTAAAAAAAAACTCTGAGCACCAAAAAATTCTGATGATCACTAGACATTATTTTTAAACTAAATTAAATAAATAAAAAATGTACAGTGTTTTTATGTTGGAGATATGTCTAACTAAAAAGACTTGATTTTGAGGTTTGAAGAGAACATTTCGAGTTAAAATATAATCCACTCTGTTTTCCAGACAGGATTTCAGAGGAAACGTTTTTTTTTTATAAATAAATGTTTATAATTGTGAGAGACACTGTATGATAGAAGACAAACGTGTTGACAACTTGATGTAAAATTTGTAAATGCACCAAAAAGAGTTGTGGGCAAAAGAAGAGTTGGTTTGCAAAATAGTTGAACATTTTAAACAATTTAAAAGATCGAGTGCATCATTAACTAACATCCATCCATTATCTTTACCCGTTTCTTCCATTTAGGGTCACGGGGGTCGCCAGTGCCCATGTCCAGCAATCATTGTGCGAGGGGCAGGGTACCCCCTGGACAGGTCTCCAGTCCATCACAGGGCTCATTAACTAACATTCAGTAGAACAATCAGTCAAAACTGTGACTATGAAAACCATCAAATATATTTTAAAAAGCTGTTCAGACTTAAAGTCCAGCTTCCTGTGATCCGTTTAAACTTTGAGCAACGTTTCTGCTGTGACATATGCCTGAGCTGCTGAGCTCCAAAAACAGCTGGTTTCACATGTGTTTCAACAAAATCACACCGACCTTTGTTTTTCTGCAACCATTGTCTACAAAACACGAACACTTATCGGCATATTGCTATAAATCAAAGCACACTTCTCCATTCCAGAATGAGCCGTGTGCTTCGCTCTTTAATTTGCACGTTTAGTTCCAAATCAACAAAATACTAAAAAAAGTGAATTAAACAGAATAAATATAAAACGGATCCAATGCTTGTGCCACCGTCATAACTTTATCTAAACTCCAGCTTTTTCAAAGTCATCGCTGCAGATTATTACAAGAAACAAACAAAGAAGCACTTACCAAGGTTTATTGATTTTAATATTTCCGAAAAGAGATTTGTTTCATTTTGTGCCATGTTCTCACCGTGAGCTCGAGTTAAGTTCCCCTCTGACTCGCACACAAACAAAGAAGGAGCTTTTTTCTGGACAGGCGTTTTGCTTCTCGGCCCCTATGTGTTCGCCGAGGCGGAAATCTTGGTGTCACGCTTCCTTCCTTCTCGGGCCTTAAAATTAGTAAACGCCGTGCTTATCTGTGTGGGACATAACACTGGGAAGCAGGGTTGTTTCCTTTTGCATCATTTCCTTAGGATCAATACCTTTTTACCAAAAAATGTGTTGGGCAGAGCACACTGCATTTGTCTTACAGAAAACAAGGATACCCTCTGAACGAAGTGAATTATTTGGGTTTAAACAGAAACAAAACAGCCTTCCTGCTGATGCACAAAGTCTTGGGAAGTTTTCTAGTGTCTTGACAACATTCTGAACAAGCAAACTCCTAAACGTCCACAGTCCAGCAGAGTCTGCAGAGTATCAAACCATGGGTCTCTGCAGGGATTTCCTTCCATTGTTGCTGTGTTCCCACTTCAGACTAACCATGAAAACAGCCCTGCGCAACAAAACAGCTGGGAAAAGTTACAGATGCACCTTCTGCAAATGTGATTATTTAAAAAAAAGTACTTATTTCCATAACTGGCTTAAAAAGGGCACTTTATCATGATGGGCATACAATTTCTCCAGGCTCAGTGACTCTTAAAGTTAATGTTACTATGTAAAATACGTCCAGCAGGTGGCAACCAAGTCCATAAAATTAAACATTTTCAGCTCTTTCAGCCTCAACCACCTGCTCAGTAACTATTTTTTTAATTGTTCTGTATCTTGTCACGCAGTTTTGAAATAAAGCATGCATAAGTAAAATGTGCGTCTCCATTGGAAATAGTGTGCTGTGACTTTTGGAAGAGGAATGTTGTACAATGCAGTCAGGGAGTGACAGTCACTGGTTTGTGGTTACTATGGTGAACATGGAGCCACTGGCAGCAGCTTTACTAATCCTCCTGCACACACCTGTACACTTCTTATACAGCTCAACAAAATGTAAGATATTTTCTGAAGTTAGATTATTGCACAGTTATAATTTATTTATTTATTTTTGCAGCAGCTGTAGTCACAAATCAAAATATCTGCAATATATATATATATATTTGTGAAATGGCTGGATTGGCAATTGTTTTTCTGTTTTTCATACTTCTGAAGTTGTTTTTTTTTTGTAAGCACAACTTGTGCATGCTTTGTGCTTATATATAATATTAATCCAGGATATGGGTGCCATGACTTTTGTTTATTTTTATACCATTTTAATTTTTGAAACTCTTAAACCTTACTTCACAAGTAAGCTGATCAAATTAGAGCTTTTAAATTCCTTTAATGTTTGCTTTACTTTTGTATTTTCTTTCTGTTTAGCAAACATTTTGCTACATTCTTTTAGCCTTTTGATACTTTTTGCATCTAAATAAACCTTTTGCAAATTTTTATAGCTTTTTGTTAAATTTAACTTTAATTAGATTTTTGCGACACTTAGCTCTTAGCAAGTATTTTGTTATCTTTGCAAAAATCTAATAATCTCCTGCTTTTACTTTTGAGCTCACAATTTACTTTTTTATCGTTTAGCTTGTTGCTTCTTTTACGTGTTTTTGTGAATGTTTTTCTTCTTTTAGTTTTAAGAGCAGTTTCAGCTTCTCAAGCACAATTATTCAGTACTGTAGCATACACAGTCATCCATCCATCCATCCATCCATCCATCCATCCATCCATCCATCCAT